TCTGGCTTCCAGTTGATTGCCAGACATGACTGGCTCGTGAGAGCTCTTATGGCACTGATACCATAAAGAGATTTAAAAGAGATAGAATGTTTAGGCTGAATTGCATACTTTATTCCATAATATGTTGTGGTATATATACATAGATGTAGAGAGTATATAACGTAAGGTACTAAATACAATATTAACTATAAAGATATGTAACTGAAATAAATAAATAATTGTAACTAAAATCCTAGAATCTGGATTCTTCTACAAGAACAAGGTTTTGAAAGGCGAAATCGGGCCTCGAGGCATTAGGCGGTAGCCTTCCGAGGCGTAACGAGGCGTAAGCCCCGAAATGGTGTTGCTACAAACCTATGACATATTAGAAAGTATAGATAATTCATAATAATAAGCTAAACTAAACAAAATCACAAGTAAAACGAACATAATTATAAAATATTCAAGTCAAAATAACATAAAACGGAAATACCAAAGTCAAAACTTAAAAGAACATAAAATATCAAAATTCCAAGAAAAAAATTTTAATCTTCAAAACTAAGCCTATCGTCCCCATCATCACTATCCAAATTAGTAATGTGATTGTCATTGTCATCTCCTTCATTATCACGAGCATCATTATCTTCTTCAGTTCCAACAGTAAGGTCCACCCCTACACACATAAAGTCACAAAAAATAGAATGAAACGGGATGGAAGTTAAGTGTAAATAATTATATTGAAGTGACAAAAAATAAAATATTAAGTTATGAACCTCTGAATTCGTTGTCCATTTCATCAACAACCAATGCAAGTTCAACCAATACATTTTCGAAGATCAAATTATCGTCTTTCTTTTGTAACCGGCTCTTCCTAAACTTCAACTTCTTGTTGAACATTATAAATACCAAACTATTCAACTTAATGGCTGAAAGACGATTCCTTCTTTTCGTGTGGACCTGATTGAATGTGCTCCAATTTCGTTCACAAGCTGAAGAAGAACACGTCAAGCCAAGAATTTTGATCGCAAAAGCCCGTAGTTCTGGAATATGATCTCCAAATTGATCCCACCATTCCACTAAAAAAATGTTAAAGAATTAAAAAAAAATGCAGTTTTACAACAAAGTAGATAAGTCAATAGATAAGGAAGGCTGTTGCTTTAAAAAAAGTAGGTAGGGAAGATTGTTTTTAATGCATTATGCAAACGGCTGTTTTCAGTTTGGGTAATACTGCAAACGGCAGTTTTCAGTTTTAAGTTTTCAGTAGGTAATGCACTAATAGTGTAAATCTGTAGTAGGAAAAAAACATTTTTAGGTTAGTTTAGTTACTAAGTGCAGTTTCCACTTTAAGATTTTAAGTAAAATAAAAAAACTGCAACTTTCAGTTTGAATTTAGATCTTAAAATTTAAATACACAAGTACACTATGTATAAACATTAAAGATATTAAAGATATAGTTTAATGTTTACCTGGGGGACGTGTTTTATATGAATTTTGAGCTGCCCTCATTCCGAAAAGTCCACGCTTGTATCGATATTCATCTATTTGTGCATCAGCTTTGTTAAAATCACTGGTATCAAAAATAAGCCTCTCCATACAAGCGTACAAACCTTTTTAAACCTCCACATGAGTAGAGAAATCATCCTCCCATTTGAATCTGGGATTCAAATAATACGCTGCAGCATGCAAGTCCCGATGCAGTTGGTGCTCCCACTTCTCATCTATTATCTTCCAAATCTCACTGTAAGTGGAATATTGATTTCCAAAATTCTCTGCAATTTTTTCTTTTGTCGAATCCATAGCACCGTAGATGGATCCCATTGCAGGCTCATCACCATCAACAATCCTTAACACTTCAACTAATGGCCTTGATGTTTTTACTGAGTAAGCAACCCCAGGCCAAAAAGTTCTTTCATCCATAACAATTTTTTTAACCTCCTTCCCCTCAACTAAATTTGCATATCGACTTGAAGTCCATTGTTTGGAAACAAACATTCGTTGCAAGAATTCTTTTACGGAAGCCATGCAATCTAAAGTCAAGAATGCAGTGGCAAACCTCGTGGGGCCTGGACGCACTAAATCTTTCCCGATACACTTCCTCATTAGCTGCAAAACCCATCCACGATTATAGATAAAATTAGTGATCTTCTTAGTTTTGATCAACACATTTTTATTCTGTGTCAGCTCTCCAATCTTCTCAAGCATGAGGTCAATACAATGGGCGGCACATGGCGTCCAATACAAATGCTTCCTCTTCTCCATTAGAAGTTTCCCAGCAGCTTTGTATGCACTTGCATTATCTGTCACGATTTGCACAACCAGACTTTCTCCTATTTCCTCAACTACCCCGTCAAGCAATTCAAAAAAATAAGTTTGATCTTTAACTCGATCTGATGCATCAATAGATCTGAGGAAAACAGTACCATATTGGTTGTTAACTAGTATGTTAAGAAGACCTCGGTTTCTTTTGTCGCTCCACCCATTTGACATTATTGTAACTCCAGTGTGCGGCCATGTCTTCTTCACTTCTTCCACATATGTGTTCGTGGTATCATATTCCGCTTTCAGGATCCACGTCCGCAACTCATGCATGGATGGGGGTTTAAAGTCTGCACCATAATTACTAACAGAACGCAGCATGTTAAAATAAGATGGACTGCGTGCTACATTGAATGCTATTGCATTTTCAATAAAAAATCTGCCCACATCTTGACAAACAAGATTACGTCGCTCTCTCATGGTAGTTTTACTCATTTTGTTAGGCACAATATCATCTTCTACAACTTCCTGCTCATTTGCTCCATCTCTTGAGCTACTGCCTGGACGAGTAACGAAGCGATCAATAGGCCCACGCGGCTGAGGTCCAGTTACTCCAGTACCAAAGTACGAGCTAGAATCTACCATTTCATCAAAAAACTTCTGGTTAACATCTTTCTGATCCTGATAGCTCTTCAACATTGCTAACACATCCTTTTTAACATTGTCAGGAACACTTTTGCACGGCGCCACATTTTTATGTGTTCCCGCAAGATGCACTTTAAGCCTCCTCACTCCACTGGTGATCAACTTACTGCAATATTTGCACTTCGCATATACATAACCAGTCTTTCCTCCCGGAGGAATTACTTTAATTCCATACTTCCAAGCAGGATCCTTATCCTTATTTGAGCTGGACCCCTCTCCCCGATTCTTACTGGGTTTAACCATCGTGACTAATCAGCCCCAATCCTACGAATAAAATGATTTTTTAACATGAATTTAAGTAAACTAGTCACACAAAATAACCAAATAATTGATAATCAACTTTAATAAAACAATATAATCAAACTGTAATGAACTTAACTATAACATTTATAAATAAAATTAAATCTTGAGTGAAGTAAACGCATAAAGTACGTAGCAATGTAGTATTAATTTTTTAACAAATAAATTAGTATTTAGTAAGATCAATGATAGATTGATAGTTGAATTATTAGAACTAGAAAGTTTAAACCGTAGGCTCATAAATTCATAAATAACCAGTAGGCTAATAAAGTTTAAACAGTAGGCGAAATTTAATAACTTTGTCTGAGTGTCTTTTAAACACAAACCGACATTTGTGATCTTTTAAATTCAACAGACACAAATACATTAATTTCAAACTAAAAAAGTTAAATGAACAGAAAAGTGGACAACGATTTAATAATTAATATTTAGAAAAGTGGACAACTATTTAATAATTAGTACTGCGTAATTTTTTTGACTGTAATTAATACTGCGTAACTTTTAATAATTCAAAACAAAACTGTTAAATAACTAAAAAGTTGATTAAAAAACTTAAATGATGAAAAACGAATACACATAAGAAATTATAGAGGTTGGGCGGTGGGTATTCTATACGTACCTGGATGAACCGGCGAAGCAGAGTTGTAGGGAGCTCCTAAAGTCTCGGTCCGGAACTAACGAAGCTTCAACTGAGGTGCTGAGCAGCGCTTCTTGAAGTTGCTGTTTCTTGTTTGTTACTATTGTAGAAGAGTGGACCGGCAATAGAATTTGGAAGACAGGGAGGACCTAGGGCTATGGCTAATCCAGGTAATTTGTATATTAGGTTGAAAAAAAAACAGGCCCCCAATAATTTAAAAATTAAGCCCAAGTTTGCTTCAAATTAGAGGCGTACGTCTCTTGAACGCCCAACGCCCTGATACCGCTTCGACGCCTCGCCAAAAAAAAGGCGTAAGCCTTGTTCTGGTATGTTAAGGCTTAAGCCTTTAACGCGATGAGAGAACGCCTTTGCGCATTAGCGCCTCAGATGCGTAAAGGCGAAACGCCTTTTAAAACCATGATTGAGAATGGGAAGATTACAGAGTATTTATACAATTGGTAGTTCAACTAACTAACAGCTAGTCTAAGAGAAGCCCTAACACCAATGGAGCCAAAGACTCACTATTTTTTGGCTTAGGAATATGATGGAATAAAGAAAGATGAATCACTGAACTGTCTGTGCTTCTTTGTTATAAGTAGTCTGTCCATGCGGTTTTCGACGCGATTTTCATCATAGGTCATCCGGGAACAATGTCTTTGTGCTTTAGTACATGGGCAAGGCTGCGTACATCACCCCCCTTTACCCCACCGTAGGTGGGATCTTTTGGGGAAATGGGGTAATGTTGTTGTATCATTCAGTAGTAACGAGATTGATTCAACAAGTTTATTGCTGTCACCATTTCCTTCAAGATTCTTCCATTTGTTATATCCGGATTCCAGACCAAGTCTTGTCCCTTTTTCAGTCCTTCCAACCCTTCAAGCTTTATGTCTGCTCTCAATTAAGATAGTAGTAATCCAGAGCCCTTTTAAATTACTTCCCTTTTACTATTGTTTTATTTAATTCCCTTTCTAGCACTTCCAGTAGCTGCTTACTCCTTCGTTTCATCTGAAAAGATCCAAAAGGTGCTTACAAACATAAGGAGAGTTTGAGAAAATGTAGTTCAAGACTTTCAGTCAATTTATCTGGTGCACGTTTAAGGAATTATTGTGTTTTTGTTTTTCAGTTCTCTCTATGCCTTGAAGATCTCATCCCAGTTGTTCTTGGGCGATATATAATGGCATTAATTTTGTGTCTACGCCAAACTAGTGATGGATCTGATTCTACGGACAATTCTGTAGAGTATCCTCTGGAGAAAATGTTTTGTTTGTTTTTGGAACAGACCGGCTTATGGTCAGATATTTGTTGCTTGCCCGAAATTAGGAGCTCAGAATTGACAGAAAGCCACTTATTTGGGTAAGTGATCAAGCGTAGTTATACTTGCAGTATTATCTATCTCTTTTGAGACAGATGTAGTTATACTTGCAGTTTTATCTCTCTTTGTGTTTTGTATTCTCACTTCTAATCCTTATTAAAACAGGTTGCTTATATGAATGATATTTTGTATTTTTTTTACAGGTATATCTATGAATACATCCAATTATTGCAGCGAAATCTCAAGGTGGAGACGCTTGAAGCGATACATGAAAAGATAAGGAGGCGTTTAAAGAACCCAAAATTGTCCAACAGTGACTTTGCAAAAGTTTCTAAGTATGTTTCTGTTGCTTGGTGTCAATCTCTTGTAATCAGCATGGCGTTAATTACACCACTACATTCAAGGCTTTCAAGTGAAGCTCAATCTACCAATCAGTCTGGGCTAGAAGTAATGCATCTGTTGTGTGTTGATCTGCAACCGGACGAGCTATGGAGTTCTTCTTCTGATGACCCCGATCACATGAAGAATCTTCAAAAGAAGTGGAACGCTTTTTTGTTTAAAATAAAAAATGTTATAATCAAGAGAGCATCAGATGAAGATTTGGAGACCGCTTCTTTGCTGCTGAGATCCTCTTACAATTTCTACAAAGATGTCTCTTGCGCATTTCTTCCGTCTGGGATAACACTTTATGCATTGCCGCTTCAGTTAGCAGCAGAGACATATATTCAACCTGGCATAGAAGCGGTTGATATACTTGATTTGAATACTTCGCGGAAACTTCTTTTGTGGGCCTACACACTTTTGCATGGTCAATGCATGTGCATCTCCTCTGTGATAAAGTATTGTGAAGAGAACTTGAAGGTATATACATAAATGCATGCACGTGCGCGCACACACACATAGTCACCTCTTGGGACATGTTATGAAGTAATTTCTTGATGAAGTTCACAACATAACATATGCACCTAAGTTTTTACTTTAAAAACATATGCACTTAAGTATGAGCCTTTAACTCTTTATCACCAAATAGGAATATTTATCCTTTCCATACCCATTTTCCCCGTAAAATAGGGATAATATACATGCTGGTGAAAAGACATGCTGACAATATTAATAGTGTTAGAGAAATGTTTTACTATTGGAGTTGATTGCATGTAGGGGCTTAGCTAGTGGGGTGTACTAGGCCCTGGCCCATGCCAATTTGTAAATACTTCGAATTTATGTTTAAAAAAATCATACAAAAATTTGTCTGGATAAATAATTTGTACCAGCCCAGTGTGATAGGCTATGCCAACACTGATTTGCATGACAGTATAAGTAGTGACAATGTTATGCACTTATGCATGACGGTGTCAGGACTTGGGCGTGAGTGGTGTGACAATGTAAAAGTTGACAAAATTCGGAGTTACGTTACACTGTTAGGAATGAGAGTTTTAGGATTCAAAGTGCGCATCGTGGCAAAGAGATATAGTGAATGCTAACATAACATAGAAGTGAGAATGTTACGAGATGAGATATGACTATCGTTACTAATGAAAATGTTAGGATTGACAATGTCAAAAGTGACATAGAAGTGAGGGTTAAGAATGAGAGTTGTAGGAGTGAGAATGATTAAAGAGATCATATTTTATTGTATCCGACGTGATCACTAAAGTCGGGGGATAGCGGCCGATAGTAGTTGTTTCTGTTGATGGTAAAAACATTGTTACGGAGTATAATTTTACATAATTAAAGAATGATAGTTAATTATGCATTTATGCCCTGTAATCCCGTTTTAGTCTCATATAGGTTTAAAAATCAGAAATTGCCCTAAATAGGAGTAAAAACGTTTTGGAATTCCAAAATAGGAGTATCATGTTTTTATATTCCCTGAATAGGAGTAATCTGCCAAGTTTGAAAAAATGCCATGTTTAAAGCCTTGTAACGCCAAACTTGGCAGAAATATTTTGGAATTTCAAAACGTTTTTACTCCTATTTAGGGAATTCTCTCTTTAAAAATGTAGTCTCTTATTTAGGTATTTTGTCAATGATTTAATCCTATGTAGGATGTTTTGAATTGGATTGTAATTTTTTGGTCTGGTCTAGTTTGATCTGAACTGTTCGGACCAAAACCACTCCAAGTAAAAAAAGAATTGTAAATAAAGGAATTGTAAGTTCATTAATGTAAGTTTTTTTGATAGATTTTGAAATGAGAACTTATTTTATGCTATTTTGATTTTTACCAAACAAGACTAACACTTCATTTGAGGCTTAAAATAAGCTACATGCACGTACACACACAGTCTAAGAGCCCACTAGGGAGTAATTATGCTTTACACATTGCAGACAAGGATGAAGAAGGGGACTGGAAGTCCTTTCCCCTCATCTGCAGCTACTACTACTACCACTACCACTGCTTCTCAGTCAGGTCATTCTCATACTTGCAATATTTTCTTCCAAAAACCAAACTTTACCATCTGTTAATGCCAAATATTTCAAATATAGGTTGCGGGAAAGATGGTTGTGATCAAGACTCTTCCCCTCTTCTATCCACTATGCTCCTCACTTCGTCAGCCGAACCTGACTCTGCTCACAAAACATCCTTAACTTCACCAGAGGTTGATAAGTGATGAAGGAGATAATTCTGGGAACACCAGTGTTTTCATCTTTTCCTAACTAGCGTTTCCCTCAGGTTTTTATTTCTGTTTTTAATTGCTACATCCTTTATGATTCACCGTATCAATACTTGGAATTGCAAGCAGGATGTGATTGTTAACTGCGCCTTAGTGTATGTACAAAGCAAACAACAGTTAACCAAGTATGTATGTGCAATCTTTCAGTTTGTAAGTCATTTTTTCAATTAACCAACTATTTACTGTGCAAGACATGTGCCAACAAATTTTGAGTTTTTGCTACTTTTGGTCCTCCAATTTTATGTAACTATTGTGGGAAAGATATTTTTATATTCGTCTTTGAAATTTTTGGTCTTTCGACTTTAATAAAATAAACACATTTAGTCCTCCGTTTGTTGTGCCAAAATCATAGTAGGATTAAAACTTAAAAGTGTCAATTTGAAAATACTTGGGGACTAAATATGGAAAATTTTGAATTCAAGGACTAAATGAAAATATTAAAAGTCTAGTACCAAAAGTGTCAATGGCACAATATTCGAGTAAAAGTGGTAAAATTTCACAAATTTTTGAACACATAAAGGCATCCCTAATGCATAGATGTCTAATCTAGATAAAGTTCGTCACATCATCAAATTAGATATTTGCTAATTATTTTTTTCCTTTTATGGTTGTAGTCTGATTAAAACTTGATATGGTAATACAAAAATTAGACAGTGTGAATTGATAATTAATTCATTTATGTGCTCTTGAGTTGCACTTTTAGAAGTATACTGTTGTTTGGTGCATATTTTTAAGGGAAAACTATTAAATAAGTTCTCGAACTTACATAAAAAGTGCAATTCACCTCCTTATTTAGGAGGTTATCCGGCCGTCGCCATTTGGATCGGTTCCCGGTGGAATTTTTTGATGACTTTTTTAGCATCTTATTTATTAAGTCTAGTTAACGCATATCAAATTTCAGCTAAAAATTCAACTGGAAAGACAGTACAATGAATTTTTGAAGATAACAGCGCAGTTAAACATCGCAGTATATTTCAGAAAATCATTTGACTGTCTTCCCGGTTAATTTTTTAGCTGAAATTTGGTGAAGAAGATGTTAAAAGAAATTCATAAAACAATTCCTCCGGGAACCGCCTCAAATGGCGACGGTCGAACATAACTTTCTATATAAGGGGGTGATTTGCACTTCTCATATAAATTCGAGGGCTTATTTAAAGTTTTTCCTTTTCTTAAAATTCAAATATGCAATTCCAAAAATGCATAACGCACTTCGTACTATGCATTTTAAATTAAAAAATAAAGTGCGCTTACTGCTTACAGTAGGGGATGTGATAAGGTGCACTAAATATCGTGCATTATGGTCAATACAAAAATGTACAACTCTGTATTCACTTCACATTTTCCCCTTAAAACAGACTATTTAAGCAAGTATTGAATTTAAAAGTAAAAAATAATATATTTGAGTGAAAGCGTATAAATTTAAGTAGCTTCACAAATTGCACTTGTATCGACGTTTTGATGCATAGTAAACTTCATAATAAAAATGCACAAAGTTGAGTGCATCATAATTCTAACAAAAATGCATGACTTTATATCGACGTTTTGATGCATAGTAAACTTCATACCCGGTCTCCGTATCTATATTCTATAGTAGTGTATTCTATCTGAGCCTTGATTAATATTTAATACTACGTAATAAATAGTAAAAAGTTAATGAATTATTGGTAGTGTTACACGGTAGTTTTTTTTTATGAAGCAAAGTGTTACGTATAGTTGGAAAACTCCTAAAAGTAAATAAAATTCTAAAACAAAAATCTGAAAACTTGATAAGCTAATTACAAAGTACAGTATAGTGACATTTTACATGGCTGATACCAAAAAATCCAAACACAGCTATAACAGTTTCCCTTTAGAGACTTGTAACTAAATTGCTCCACCAGTATTACCCATCTACCCATCTAAATGGATAACAGTACTCCTATTCCTTTGTCACTAAGTGCTGAGTTGCAGCCATTTACACACTCTCTGCAACAAGTCTTGCATTAACTCTGGTACCTGAGGAAATACACCAAGAGATAATGTTAGTGATCCGAGCTAAAAATAGAGGTAAGTACTCTTTTAGCCAAATGGGTGAATGGTAAGTCAAGAGAAGCATAATAAAGCTCGTTGCTAGTCAGTTTAACGTGTCAAGACGCAAAATTTCTGGAACGTGCAAGATAGTGTAGACACGGTTGAGAAATGGGCAAGAGATTGACGTCATGCCTAGACTCGATCAAAACAATCCTATTCATAGATGAAGCAAATTGAGTGATTGAGGTCATTGACAATAGAACTGCACAAGCGGTACGCAAATGCAGTGAAGCCATTTTTAACTAAAAAAAAATGTGCCTAGTGATTAGAGTATTAATTGGATCATGGTAACTTTTGTTCAATTTTTAAACTTAAGTTACCATGACATTGTAATAACTATTAGTCATATTTTTGTAAATAAATTTTATTTTAGCAATATTTTTGAAAAAACCCTATTTATCAAATTATAAAAATAGGAAGAATAAAATGATAGGCGATCACTCCCATACACCTTTGTGGGTATAACAAATATTATATTCATCAATATAAAATAAGCGATTCAATGCTTTCTCCATCCAATACAAAAAGATCCACGCTTTTGTGGATAGCAAGACATCCCAGGTTCGAGTGTTCCACAAGTCCTTTATAGGGAACCAGTGACTTAATTGCCAACTTTTCTAATAAGTGAGGGATTAGATAACACACTATTTTGGGAACTTGACACTTGGCTGGAAAAGTGCTGGGCATCCAAGTCTGACAACGTAAAGGCATACAATTTACAAGAGCAAAGTTCACGGCAGCATGCTCTTACAATGCCAGTGTATGAACGGCGTTTCTGGAAGAGACTGGCCTGCTCAACCTGCCTGTTTAGGGAACACAACCATCAGTTGTGCAACAAATGTTTGTTATGCCAGACACATCCTTTAATAAGCATGTACTAATCGGGCCTATATTATGCCTGACTCCCTTACAGGGATGTGCTTAACCCATTTTCTGTTTGCTCAGTGCCTAATATTTTTAAATTGTATGTTGATATAAATGCCCAATGAACACAACTATTAAAGAAGCTTTAATGTGCATGCAAGACATTTTAGGAAGGACGTCAGTAGCAAACAATGGAAAAGAAGAGAATTATTACAGGCGAAGCAAAACTTACCACAAAACACCACCACCAAGGAAGGCCCTTTTAACTATCACTTGAGCAAATACCACAAACCAAAAAAACAAAAACTTAAATCAAAGCGACCTACTTACTAGCGTATTCACTAAACCATAAAGACTACCTACTAGTGAACAAATCCCCCAAACATAGATAAACACTTCAAATCAATGCTGCTATCAAAAACATCAAATCTGACACAGAGAGATAAGCAAGATTTAATACCTCAACCCAACCAGTGGACTGAATGCCTTCAAAATCAGAGTCAGAGACCTACTCACTGCTCACTGATCTCAGTAGCAGTAACACTCTCTTCCTTCTTCAGTGCAGCGACTACTTGACGCAAGACTTCATCAGTAGACTTGTGAGAGTTCTCAACTGCCTTGGCTATAGCCTGCCACTTCTCTCCATGCTTAGGCTCTGCAGCAACACACTTCCTCAACACCTCATTCCGTGTATCCTCAGATCCAAACTGCTCCTCAAACCTGTAAAACGAAGCCCAGAAATCACCAATATCCGGTGCGATTGTGACAGCACGGCTGAACCATGTTCTGGCTTTATCAACCTTCCTGTCATTCCAGAAAAGCTTCGCAATGGCAGCAAGAACATAGGCATCCTGATTGCACTTTTTATAAGCATCCGAACTCTTCGATTTTCTCTGCGGGCGAGGAGCCATCTCAATTGAAGCAGCCAATAGTATGCCGCTAGTAGGACACTCCTGTAATGCCTTTGCCATAAGAACATCTGCTTCTTTTTTATAACCATGCCGTGCCTCAGCTCGTACAGCGGCAAGCCACAGCTGAGGATTCTTTGGGTTCTTCTTCCGAGCCATTGTAAGAACTGCTCGGGCTTTACTTAGCCCACCGTTCATCCTCTCTTCCAGTTTAGCAAGAGATAGCCACAAGGGGATGCAGTTTGGGCAGTTCTGCAAGCCGGACTCGTATGTCCTCTTGGCGTCCTCCAGATGCCCAAGACGTTCTTCAAGCTGCCCAAGCATCAACCAGAGCTTGAAAAAGGAAGGGAATCGTTTCAACCCATCATCAAGCAGGGATTTCTCTTCCTCCACATTCCCTAATTCTCTCTCCACAATTGCGGATTTCATCCAGACACGTTCAGATCCGGGTATTCTATCCCTGGCCTTAGCAAGCAGTTTTCGGGCTCTTTCAGTCTCTTTGTTCTCAAACTCAAGCTTAAAAGCGGCTAGCCAGATCTCTTCAGAGTCGGGGATTGCAGCAAATGCTTCCTCAAGAATTGCCCTGGCTGCAGGCACATCTCCTGCAAGCCACTTCTCCTTGGCACCCATTAACCACAGAACTTCAGCATTTGGTATGTAAGTAACTGCTTTACGGAGGAGGGCATCTAGACTTTCTCTTGTTCCGTGGCTTTTCTCCAGCTGTGCTGCTTTGAGCCAGATGCTCTTCTTCGTTCGGAAGACCGTAAGGGAATGAGAGTAAATTTGTCTGGCTGTTTCAATGGAACCTCTCTTTTTGCACTCCTCTGCATCAGCCACCCAAGTCCTTTTCCTGTCTTCTTCCTCGACCCCAAGTCCAACAGTGTTACTGATAATAGCCTGGCAGGTTAGGACAGAGCCAGCTCTTTCACAACCCTCAGCTTCCTTCATCCAAGCCTCACGGTCGATTTCCACGCCTTCCCTCTGCAAAGCCCTAATACCTCTTTCTATGATCTTCACAACCGTGTTTATATTCCCACTGGCTTCTTCAAGCCTTGCTGCGGTAATCCAGATAGCAGGCTCCTTAGGAAGCTTCTTCCTTGCCATATTAAGCACTTTCTTCGCATTGTCGTAAGTCTCCAGCTTGGCAAGAGCAAGCCATAAGTCAACATGTAACGGGCAGCACTCAACAGCCCTTTGAAGTAAAACCCGGGCATCTTCTTCATTAGCTAACATCACAACAGCTTTCCAAAGTCTTACAGAGTCTGACATGTGCTCCAACCCTTTCCTCAAAACAAGGCTCTTGTTATAAGTGTCTTCTTCCAACTCTGCAGCCTGCAGCCACAGTTTAACTGAAGTTGGATTCACCTTGACACCACTTGCAATTACCGCCTTGGCCTCGCTGGGGCTGGATAGCCGGCATGCTTCCAGCCATACG